GCAAGGTATAAAACATGAGGAGGGTACAAAATACGAAGAGTTTGAAAAAAATACCTGAGGAAGGTTCAAAACCACCTGAAGAGGGAACAAAACATGATAGGGTACAAAACATGAGGAGGGTGAAAAAAAAACTGAAGTTCCACAACCTAAAGATGGTACTAAATGACATGATGTATGAAATGACCTGATGTGGGTATATAATGAACTGAGGAGGGTACAATGTGGACATTAAAATATGTATTCAGTCAAGAATCCAGGTTTTGATGCAGAATGCTCTGATTCTCAGAAACTGGACTCGTTTTCACAGACTCAGAACCCAGAGGGTCTGAACCAGGCTGTTCTGTTTGAAGCAGAGCTGCAGGAGTTCACTTTAATGTTAAAGTTTAATCAAAGAGAACCATCAGCTTTTAGAGATGAGAATGTTTTAATTAAGAAAGACAATAAATCAGTTTAAATCAAAAATAAAACATTAAATCATTCGATTCTGACCATCACATTTTAAGTTGTTTTTTATATTTTATATAAAACCTGTTTTCTTTCCTGTCGATGAAAAGTTGGATGTTCCTTCTTGTCAGAATAATTGTGGAGTAACAGGCGTGGAAATGACTTGGACCGTGTTTTAATTGAAATATTTGATCAGAAAATCAGCTTCCGGGCCAGAAGGGAGGGAGATCGGTTCTTATCGAGTTCAGCCCATTAGCTGTTAATTAACCCAGAGGAGACGATGTTCTGAATGATGATTTAAACAGAACTGAGAGAAAAACACTCTGACTGCAGCACCTACTGTCACTGTGACCTGCTCCTTACACATCTGAAAACAAGAAAGTCAACCTCAGTTTCATGTTTACAGCTTTATTTACAGAAAATATTTTTATTAAAGGCAAATATATTTTCACATTAAAAGCTTCCAGATGTTTCCACCATGCTGCAGCTGGACCAGAGGCGGGTTCTGTTTACTCTGGTCCACACTGAAGAACTGCATGGGTCCTAAACAAAGTTCTCCAACCAATCAGTGAGGATCCTGTCGGTCCAATCAGCCAATCAGAGCGTGAGTTCTGGACTCATTAGGAAGTCCTTTTGATGGATCTGAAGACTCTTTCAATGAGGTGCTGAGAGACAGGCAGGAGAGTAGAACTTCACTGTCTCGTCCCACGAACAGTCCACCACCTGGAGACACAAGGACCAAAGACACAGATTGTTGGAAGACTGGACATGGCCTCAGACTTGTTAGCTTCCTGTTGGGCAACAGGAAATGAAAACTAACCCAAAACCAAAGAGTTGGTTGAGACACAGAGACATTTCTCAGAAAGTCTGATTTAAATTGTGAGACACAGAGACGTTTCTCAGAAAGTCTGATTCAAAGTGTGAGACACAGAGACAGCTCTCAGAATGTCAAATTTTCTGTGTGAGACACAGTCAAGTCTCTCAGAAAGTCTGATTTTCTGTGTGAGACACAGAGACACCTCTCAGAATGTCTAATTGTCTGTGTGAGACACAGTCAAGTCTCTCAGAATGTCTGATTTTCTGTGTGAGACACAGAGACGTCTCTCAGAAAGTCTGATTTAAAGTTTGAGACACAGAGACGTCCCTCAGAAAGTGTGATTTAAAGTGCGAGACACAGAGACGTCCCTCAGAAAGTGTGATTTAAAGTGCGAGACACAGAGACGTCCCTCAGAAAGTCTGATTTAAAGTGTGAGACACAGACATGTCTCTCAAAGTCTGGTTTTCTGTGTGAGACACAGAGACGTCTCTCAGAAAGTATGATTTTCTGTGCAAGACACAGTCAACTCTCTGAGAAAGTCTAATTTTCTGTGTGAGACACAGAGACACCTCTCATAAAGTCTGCTTTTCGGTTTGAGACACAGAGACGTCTCTCAGAAAGTCTAATTTTCTGTGTGAGACACAGAGACACCCCTCAGAAAGTATGATTTTCTGTGTGAGACACAGAGACGTCTCTCGGAAAGTCTGATTTAAAGTGTGAGACACAGAGACGACTCTCAGAAAGTCTTATTTTCTGTGTAAAACATAGACGTCTCAGAAAGTCTGATCTTCTGTGTGAGACACAGAGACACCCCTCAGAAAGTATGATTTTCTGTGTGAGACACAGAGACGTCTCTCAGAAAGTCTGATTTAAAGTGTGAGACACAGAAGACTCTCAGAAAGTCTGACTTTCAGTGTGAGACACAAAGACGTCTCTCAGAAAGTCTGATTTTCTGTGTGAGTCACAGAGACGTCTCAGAAAGTCTTATTTTCTGTGTAAAACACAGACGTCTCAGAAAGTCTGATCTTCTGTGTGAGACACAGAGACACCCCTCAGAAAGTCTGATTTAAAGTGTGAGACACAGAGACGTCTCTCAGAAAGTTTGATTTAAAGTGTGAGACACAGAGACAATGTTTTTTTTATTTTGGACCTTCAGTCCGTGTATTCGTCGTCTTTGTGGACTGAATGTTTTCCTCTGCAGGATAATCAAAGACAGTCTTTCATCTTCTCTGAGTGGACGCTGTTCTAATGCCCTGCTGCTGCAGGTAAAATGTGGACTCTCAGGGAGAACGAGGACAGACCAAACATCAAAGTGTCCAACCTGAACGAGCTCGTTCAGTCCCTCTGTGTTTCTGGATGGATTGATGGACAGTTTCTTTCTTCACTCCTCAAACGGTTTGTTTTTAACGTCACTTTGATTTATAAATTTGATTTTAAATTATTTATTTCTAGATTATATGTTTCTGTCTTCAGGACACTCAGGATTTTCTCTCAGGTCTAGACTCTGTCTTCACAAACAGTTTCTACCGTTTCTTGATTTTTCTTTCAATCTGTCCTCACATGAGACAAGTCAACCCACAAAGAACCGGGCCGGGTTCTGATGTGTCAAAGGCAGGAAGCAGAAGCTGAAAAGGGCACGCGTGTCAAACTCAGTTTGTCTCTAATTCAGACACTCAGAGGCTGTGTTTGTCCTCTGGTCTTCTGGTCCTTGATCATCTGTTCCTGTCTTCTGGTCCTCTGTTCTTTGTTCCTCTGTCCTCTGGTTCTTTGTTTCTCTGGTCCTCTGTCCTCTGGTTGTTTCATCCTTTGGTCCTCTGGTCTTCTGGCCTTTTCATCCTTTGGTCCTCTGTCCTCTGGTCCTGTGATCCTCTGTCCTCTGGCCTTTACATCCTTTGGTCCTCTGTTCCTCTGGTGTTTGCATCCCTTGGTCCTCTGTCCCTCTGTCCTTGATCTTCTGGTCTTTTCATCCTTTGGTCCTCTGTTCCTCGGTCCTCTGGTCTTTTCATTCTTTGGTCTTCTGTCCTCTTGTCCTCTGTCCTGTGATCTTTTCATCCTTTGGTCCTCTGATCCTGTGGTCCTCTGTCCTCTGATCCTTTGGTCCTCTGATCCTCTGGTCCTCTGTTCTCTGATCTTTTGGTCCTCTGTCCTCTTATCCTTTGGTCCTCTGTCCTCTGGTCTTTTCATCCTTTGGTCTTCTGTCCTCTGATCCTGTGCTCCTCTGTTCCTCTGTCCTCCGGTATTTTCATCCTTTGGTCCACTGTCCTCTGGTCTTTTCATCCTTTGGTCCTTTGTCCTCTGGTCCTGTGGTCCTCTGTCCTCTGGTCCTCTGTTCTCTGGTCCTCTGTCCTGTGGTCTTTTTATCCTTTGGTCCTCTGTCCTCTGATCCTTTGGTCCTCTGTCCTCTGATCCTTGGGTCCTCTGTCCTCTGGTCTTTTCATCCTTTGGTCTTCTGTCCTCTGTCCTCTGATCCTGTGGTCCTCTGTTCCTCTGGTATTTCCATCCTTTGGTCCTCTGTCCTCTGTCCTGTGGTCCTCTGTTCCTCTGTCCTCTGGTCTTTTCATCCTTTGGTCCTCTGTTCTCTGGTCTTGTGGTCCTCGGTCCTCTGGTCCTGTTGTTGACTCTATTAAAGTCTGCAGGAAGCTTTATAATTGAACTCTTTGTTCTTTTAAAACATGATAAACTGAATGTATTAGCGTTACTGTCAGAATAAACCTGTCTGAACTCAAAGGAAAGCCTGTGATGTGAACAGAGAACAGCTTGTTTCTACTGTTGAGCTGCAGAAGAAGAACTGACTGAAGGTGTTTCTTGTTGAGGATGTTAAAAACATTATTATTCTGCTCAATGAGTTCACAGAATGTCCTGTTATTGTTTTAATTCTTGTTTCTTTCTTCGTTGGGACATCAAACGGTTTTCTGCCTCACATCTTCCTCTGTTGGTTTTGCTGCAGTGTTGGCAGCCTTGGTTTGATGGCAGCTCCTACAGTTAATTAAAGAAGGGCATTCCTCTCCTCCGAGGCTGAGTCACCGCTTGGCCGCTCTGCTTACTCATCTCCTGAGAGCAGAGCCTTGTTAAATGATTCAGAGACCGGACCGGACCGAGCCAAAGAGGAGGGACATCATCCAGAGCAAGAACCAAGTTCTGAATGAAGACCTGATTACTGAAAGAACTGACATGTTTCAGTTAATCTGGTTTTATTCTGATTAAATCTGGAGTTCCTCAGAGATCCAGTCCAGGACTCCTAACCAGTCTGGTTCTGTCTGAACGAACGAACTGATTCTGTTCCTGTTTGCTTCATCTGAAACCAACAATCATCCAAACATCCATCCAACCATCCATCCATCCATCATCCACCCAACCATCCATCATTAATCCATCCTCCATCCATTTTCCATCCATCCATCCATCATCTATCCATCCATCATCATCCAACCATCATCAATCCATAAATCCATCCATCATCTATCCAACCATCCATCATCCAACCATCCATCCATCCATCCATCATTAATCCATCCAGCCATTATCCATCCATCATCTATCCAACCATCCATCATCCAACCGTTATCCAACCATCCATCATCCAACCATTATCCATCCATCCATCCATCCATCATCTGTCCAATCATCCATCATCTATCCAACCATCCATCCATTATCCATCCATCCATCTGTCCAACATCCATCCATCCATCATCCATCCAACCAACCATCATTCATCCATCCATCCATCCATCTTCCATCCAACCATCCATCATTCATCCATCCATCTATCCATCCATCCATCATCTATCCAACCATCCTTCATCCAACCATCCATCCAACCATTGTCTTAGTCTGGGTGTAATATCTATCTTTGGGGCTTGTCCGGGATGCTCCAGTCTTTGAGTTCTGAGATAAAACCAGTCTCTCTCCCTCACTCTGGGCTCTGACTGGTGGAGACTAACCTTCAAGAAAAGAGGTTAATTTCCTTTTGGAAAACTGCTGATTGGCTTTTATGACACGTTTGCATACAAATGTTACTAAAATACTGAAATTTCAATTTGTGCAGTTACCTTGTCACGAAGGTCTAAACTGTGTCAACATTTGTTGCCAACAGTCAGAGCAGAGAGGTTCTAAAGCAGGAGCTTCAAGGAGACAGAGAGCTGGTTCTATAATCCTCAGAACATAAATGTTTATCTAATGTTTCCTTTAGCTCCAGTAACACATGTTAACAGTGATGTTAGCTCATTATTGGAGTCGTTACACGTCACCTGGTTGGGGATGTGCAGGTTAAAGTCCAATCCACAGACGAACTCTGTATGGTGCTCCACAGAGTCCAGAAGAGGCTGGTTTCTACTGAAGTCCCAGAACCTGAACACACAAACAGAACCCCAAGCATTAGATTTGAAAAAAGATACATTTGTAGTGTTTAATAGCAAATGTACTGAAGATGGGAGAAGGTGCTTACAAATTTTTATTTTCATTACATTATCTGACAGCAGATTATTTATCTCATCTTAAGATAAAACTGGTTATTTATCCTGTTTTCTGAAGATAACAGATCATATTTATATTTGACTAAGAAAAACTCAATATTAATGATTTCCTAGTCACAGAAGCTTCATAGTGTTGTTGTGGTTAAATGTTTGAGAAAGTCCATCCCTGATCAACAGATTACTGATCTGATCTGATCTGTGTCCTGCCTCTGAGATCAGATAATAAAACTTGGTGGAACACTCCTTTATGCACCAAATTCAGCTGGTAATTTGAAGAAAAGGAGATGTTTGTTCAGATAACATCTGATGGTTTCCTGAACACAGAGTTTGGTTATCTGAGGACAACAGGAGAGGAAACTCACCACCTCCAGAAAAGTTCTGTATCAAATCAAATCAAATCAGAATTACATCAAATCTGATGGAGATCTTCATGAATCTCATTAGAACCTGATGGTGCAGATCATCCCAATCAACCTGATGGACAACACCTGGACATCTTTGAGGACCTTTAGCCTCAGGTGGAGGAGCTCAGGTCTCTGGGAGTCTTCCTTAGTGATGGTGGGATGGAGTGGGACATGGGTCCACAGAAAGAACCAGGTCCTGGATCCAAGCAGCTGAAAGGTTTTGTAGGGGGCCGGGTTCAGAAACAGGGTGAGGAGCTCAGAGGAGTCAGCTGGTCAGGATGTGGACATGTCCCACTGAGAGGAAACCTCAGGACTGACCCAGAACTCTCTGGAGGGATCATGGATCCTCTCAGGTCGGGGAACACCTCAGGGTCTTCCAGGAGCAGCTGTAGAGGGTCTCTGATGAGGAGGGAGGTATAACCTGACTACTTCAGTGGTTTCTCAGATGAGACACAAAGCAGCTTAAAGAATAAAAATAAACAAGAAGACTTTAACTCAATTTAACCTTTCAAACACGTGTCAGGTCTTCATTTCTTCAGGTTTTTAAAAACAAGCCTGGAATTACAAAAACACTTCTGAACCTGTCTTCAGACGTTCTGAAATGTTCAGTGAAAATGTCAAATATGACTTTAACATTAATGTCTCAGATCAGGAAACTTTAATACACAAACTGAATGAGGAACAGAGAAGGAGGGAGGGACGAGAGGAAGACGGCAATCTAGAAAATGAGTTTATGAAAAATAAAGATGACGAAGACCTTAAGAAGCAGGCGAGCCAATAAAACACTCCCTGCAGCCACCGGCCAGCAGCAGCCAATCACACTAATTGAAAGAGTGTTTCTCTTCCTGGTTCTGACAGAGCGCAGCGTGTGTGTGTGTGTGTGTGTATGTGTATGTGTATGTGTGTGTGAGTGTGAGTGTGAGTGTGTGAGTGTGAG